GCCCTCCTTCAAATCGCCCTCCTTCAAATAGATGATTGATGAGTGCACTATGCCGGGGGTTTTTAAAAAACGACAGTTTGAAACCCCTGTCCAATTTATTTTCTGTAGGTTTTTTGTTTGTTTGTTTGTTTCTTTTTGTTCAGGATTTGGCTACAGAACTGCAAAGAAACTGGACGGTATGGGCTTCAACGTATTCGCTGCTTGCTTGACCAAAGAAAAGATGGAGGAATTGACCGCAGCTTGCTCGCCCAGATTGACCGCTGTGGCCATGAATGTAACTGATGACTCATCGATCGTTGAGGCTCTGTCTGTGGTTAAGTCTCACCTTCCAAAAGGACAAGGTGGGTGGTTGACAGGTGCTCTGGTGTGGTTTGCTTCTTCTTTCCTATGATACATCTATCGTCCTTATCTCCCCGTCTTCTTTTTTATGTTTATTACTCTCTTGTAACACCTCTAATCTGGCGCTCATATGATCTGGTGCAGTTGCGAGCGCCGTAAAACTTCTACTGAAACTAAACGAGGTGGGTGTCTCTAGAAGGCTTTGGTTCAGTTTAAAGGAAGTGTTGGCTGTCTTTAATGTCAGATACTGTGAAATAATAATGATAATATTTGGCATTTATATAGTGCTTAAGCCCGATTAACTCTTTCCGGATGTATCGCCAATATATCGGTGCGAGTCGACACCCCTTGTGGACGTATCGCAGATATAATCATTAACCCTATAGATACCTTCAGATTCCACTGTTAATATCTGCTTCAGGTCCAAGCAAAAGAAAAAAACTCTTCTTTTTTTTTCACATTGGCGGTTAAGTTTTAAAAAAGCAACCGGTATATCAGATTTTGCGGAACTTGATTTTTTTTGCTCTCCAGTGGCCGCAGATCTACTTCTACTGTAAATGCGAAAAAAAGCGCAGATTTTTAGAAAATTGCGGCAGATGGGTTTCTGGATCTGAACCTTTAGCATACAATATCCTTACTTTCGAACCTGCTCCTATGACCACCTGTCCAAGCAAGACAGTAAGCTGTAAAAAAAATGTCAACTACCCTCTTGCCCCAATGTTGTTGTGGTTTTTTTTTTTTGGGGGGGGGGGGGGAGGGTTCTGTTATGTTATGACAAAGATAGTACATAACAAGATGGGCCACTCAGCCAAAAAAGTGTCCGCAGGAAGTTCGCTCTTTGCTTCAGATGGCGCTGGAGTCTGTTTTGAAGCTCTCTTTTGTTTTTCCAGAAGAAGAATAGGAATAGCACCTCCTTGCGTGCGCAGATCGACTGCAGTTCATCAGCAGTTCGGGTTCGTTCAGTACGGAGTTTTAGGTTTTTTATTATTTTAATGACCTCTTGCCTTTCATTCTAAAGTCAAATTAAGTGAAGAAAACAATCACCCTTTCCTCCGGAAGAGGTTTTTTGTCAGCGTAACCATTTAAAAAAAGCGTTCTTCCGAACTTTATTAAAAAACTTGCTAGTTTCACTTTGATTTTTTAAAGTCAAGTAGAGTAACTCTGTTCGCAAAGGGTGCGCATTTGTGAAGAGGGCGCCACCGAATTTTGAGGACACTTTTTTAATTGGCTCGAAGAGAGAAGTAGCCCCTCTTGTTATGTAGACTCTTTGGTTGTGATGACATTGTTCAAGACGTCCACCTGTCTAAGACAATTCTACATTTTTTTTTAGTGCACATACTGCCAGGCTCACTGCATGATTAATTTTCTCTTAGGAATTTTTTGTACACATATACATATACATCATATTTGTTTTCCGTACATACCTGTCCATTAGTTTTTAAATTGTGATATGTTTATAATGAATGTAATGCACATTGAGCATTTTTTGGAAAATGGAAATGCACAGCGTAAATGCTATATTACTATATATGACTATTATGAATATTTTAATCATTATGATTATTATTATTATTTTCATTATTATTATTATTATCATTATTACTATTATTATTGATTACTTTTTGGCCATCTTGAACAATTTCCACTGTGTATAAGTTGACAATTTTTTTGACAGGTTTGTGGGCCCTGGTAAACAATGCTGGCATTGTGGGGCCGCCGGGTATTACCACATGGTTGACCAAAGCTGACTACGAGGTACAGTCTGTTTGTGTGTGTGTGGGTGTTTAGGTGTTTGTGTGGGTGTGGGTGTGTGGGTGTTTAGGTGTGTGTGTTTGTGTGGGTGTTTAGGTGTGTGTGTGTGTGTGTTTGTGTGTGTGCTTTAATGCAGGTATCACTTACTGGATGACCAAAGCTGACTAAAAAGTAAGGGGTTTGAGGGTATAACAAGGTGGTCCTACATCTTTTTATTTCCTTGTGTTGTTTCTTCTTCTTCTTCTTATGGATCTCATTACACTTGAAGTCTGGTATCTGTCATAAATTGGGCCGTCCTGCTTAGTTCATCTGTCGGCCCATATAGCTTTTCTTGTAGCGCCAGTGGGGTTGGCCACGTTTCCTGTCTCAGGGCCCTGTGTGTCTTGCAGTGCTGAAGGATGTGTTCAACAGTTTGGTCCGCCTCTCCACACTGGCATTTTGGTGATTGTACTAGTTTAAAACATTTGTACATATGTTTTCTCAGTCTTGTGTGTTGTGTCCTTAGTCTGAAGATAATCACTTGTTCTTGGCGGGACAGCTCTTGGTAGCCATGTTGTGTCTGAGGTGCTTTAAATAGTGTATTTATAATAGTTTTTATTTCTATGTAGTTAGTGTTGTTTCTGTTAGCTTACTTTTTCTCCCTACACTTAACTACTGCTCTTGGTGGATGGTTCGCGATTCGCGGCTGCTCTGGTGTGGTTTGCTCCTTCTTTCCTATCAAACATCTATTTTTTTTTCTCTTCTCCTTCTTTTTTGTGCTGTTACTCTCTTGTAACATCTCTAATCGTCTGCACTTACATGACCTTATTATGTTGCAAGTGCCGTAAGACACTTACTACTGACTGAAGTGTCTTTAGGCCATTCCCAAAAGGGGGACATTTCTCGTTCTAGTGCACAGTAGAATTGTAAATGGGCTGATTCATCATTGTCACGCTCATAACTGTGCCTGATCTACAACAAGGAACTGCTGCTTTTTCATTCCTTATCCTTACTATCGTCATTTTCCTCTACTTCTTTTGTGTGTTTGTCACACTCTTGTGACCCGCTATTTCCGGGGTGCCTTGATAGTCGAAGCAGACTTTGTGCTGCTGAAGCTAGAGAGGTGAGCAGAGTAAGTCTGATTCCCTGTAAGGACTTCTCTGTTGACATCCACCCCTTGGCGCTCATATGACCTTATGCAGTTGTGAGTGCCGTAGAACCTCTACTAAAAAAAAAATGCCTATGTGTCACAGCATGGTGGAATCAGTTGCTCGTTAATTTGCATATTGAGTTATTGGTATAATCTTAAAGCTTGTTCTTTCGTCTTGCTTTAGATGAAAAAAATGTCCATCTATCTTGAATAGAAGTCAAGATATTTGCGACTCAAAGAGTTGGGGTCGCCTTGAATCGGAGGTAAAATTAACGAGAAAATGGCTGCAAACGTTTGGAGACTTGCAAAGCTGTAATGTCCTATGAAACTACAAATTTTCATTTTTGTGCCTTTAATCAGTGTTTTTCAGTAAAAATCTTCACAGAAATGTGTTTTTAAAATCGACATTAAAGGTGTTTAGCTAAAAAAATAAAATTGGAAAAAAAAAAATTTGCCCAACAGCCAGAAAAATGACGGTTTCTTTGATTCCTTCCATTATTTTGACAAGCGCCTGATTTCACCACGATGCCTCTCCTAAACTCTCATCAGAATACGATTGGAATGCTATTAGAATGCTGACCATGTGTCAATTGTGTCTGGCATAAACATCAATATTGTTCACAGTTTTGGTAATTTATAATGTAATAATATATGTGTGACTGTCGGTCTGTTTGTGAGTGTAAGCGTATTATAATTTTATATTTCATGTACATGTTTGTGTATATTTGTGTGAAAGAGAAGATGTGAAAGAGAGTATGTATGTGTGTGTGTGTGTGTGTGTGTGTGTGTGTGTATTTAGGTGTGTATGTGTGTGTGTGTGTGTGTTCGTGCATGTACGTGCGTGCGTGGGCGTGTGTGTGCGGATGCATGTGTAAGTTTTAAAATACCAACTCATCAATAAGCCGATATCTGAACAAGATAGATCACTAGCAAGCTGTTTAAATATTCTGTGCAAAGAAAGCAAATTACAGGTGCTGAAATAAAATCCCTCATTGGAAAAGCTCAGGCTGCTTTCATATCTTTGGATAGGATTTGGAAGACCAGAGATATCTCACTTCGAACAAAGTTGACGATTTTCAATTCAAATGTTAAGTTGTGGGTGGTTGACGGGTACTCTGGTGTGGTTTGCTTCTTCTTTCCTATCAAACATCTATCAACCTTTTCTCCCCTTCTTCTTTTTTATGTTCGTTACTCTCTTGTAACACCTCTAATCTTCTGGCGCTCATATGACCTTATGCAGTTGCGAGCGCCGTAAAATCTCTACTAAAACTTAAAAAATGTGAAGTCAGTCTTGTTGTATGATTGTGAGACATGGAACTCATCACAGACTTGCATAAAGAGGATCCAGGTTTTCTTGGACAAGCAAACTTTTACAGGAGAGAGATAAAAACTGTTTCAGGTCTTTATCACATTGTGTGTGCATTATGTAATTTTTCTCTCTATTTTTCAAAATTTAAAATTAGAATTTGGACCAAATATTTCATTAGTGGGTGGATAGTGGGTGCTCTGGAGTGGTTTGCTCCTTCTTTCCTATCAAACATCTATTGTCCTTCTCTCTCCTCCTTTTTTTGTTTGTTACTCTCTTGTAACACCTCTAATCTTCGGCACTTATATGACCTTATTGTGTTGCAAGTGCCATAAAACTTACTAAAACTAAAATATTTAATTAGTAAATGCAACTGATACCACAGATTAATAGGCGGCGTCGGTGGCCTAGTGGTTAGGCTACCAGGACCCATAATCATGAGATTGTGGGTTCGGTGGTTCGAGCCTCAGCTCGGTCTGACATTGTGTCCTTGGGAAAGGCACTTAACACGAATTCCCCATTTGGTTCAGTCGTTATAGAGATGGAAGTTCAACTGGGAAGTCCTGCCTCTGAAATAACCTTATACTACTTATAGTGTTGATAACTGCTTTAAAAATTAGACCATTTAACCATTTTCATAGATTAAGAAATTGCAAAAAAAAAAAAAAATGTTTTTATAATTTTGAACTTATTACATTTTAAGAGCTGGCTGACGAAATAAATCGTATTTTATCTTTTCCCCAGGTGACGATGAAAGTTAACTTTTACGGATTGGTGATGGTCACAAAAACTTTCCTCCCTCTGCTGCGGCAAGGTCAAGGTCGTGTGATCAACACGGCAAGCACGGTGGGGCGTTTTGCGTTGCCGCCCTGCCCTTATACCATGTCCAAATTCTGTGTGGAGGCGTTCACGGACGTTTTGCGAAGGGAGTTGAGGCCGCTTGGTGTGACTGTTCACACGGTGGAGCCTGGCGGTTATAAGACCAACATCACAGGTGGATACGATTTAGCGGGTGGTTGGAGGGTGTGACTTTATTATTTATATGTCAGGCAGCGTGTTGAAATCAGGCACTAATGAAATTGAAGAAACTAGCGTTTTCCCCCCAGTTTGGTTATTTTTAATCTAATTTTTTTTTTGGCTCAACATCTTTTATGTCCATTCAAAAACACATTTCTGTGTGGATTTTACTGAAAAACGTTGATTAAAGGTTTGCTCCTTCTTTCGAATCAAACATCTATCGTCTTTATCTCCCCTCCTTCTTTTTTGTAGTTGTTACTCCCTTGTAACACCTCTAATCTTCGGCACGTATATGATCTTATTGTGCTGCAAGTGCCGTAAAACTCTTACTAAAACAACAAAATTGATCTTTTCGTCACTGCGCTAGCAAAATTGCACCACTCAGAGTTGTTTCAAAATGCAACTAACCTTTTATTTTGTTTGTGGGGGGGTTACAATATCTGTCTTTTGGTAAAATCAAAACAAAAATGCGCTGACAATCACAAAATAAACATGCCTGTCAAGTTCTACCATTACTAGATCATAATAAATAGTCTAGTTAAACAGTATTTTCCCCCTTTAAAATAGTGAAAATGAGATACGCCATTTTGTTAGCTCATCGACGCTTTAATTCTTTTTTTTCCCCTTCCTTTCTTTAAATTTTATTTCCTTATATTTCTTCTGTCGCTCTATTTCTATCTGTTTTTTTCCTACCAGATTACAACTTGGCCATGACAGCAATGGAGAAAAGTTTTAATCAAGCTCCAGAAGATGTCAAACAGTTCTACGGTCATCGCTATGTGGAAAAATGTATGTGTCTCAACGTTGAGGATGATAATAATAATAATAATAATAATAATAATAATAATAATAATAATTATGATAATAATAATAATGATAATAATAAATAATAATAATAATAATAATAATAATAATAATAATAATAATAATAATTCTTTTCATTTCTTCCCTCCCTCCCTCTTTCTCTCTCTTGCTTTTTCTTTCTCTCTCTCTGTCTCTCTCTCTGTCTTTTCTCTATCTCTGTCTGTCTGTCTGTCTGTCTGTCTCTCTCCCCCCCCCCCTCTCTCTCTCTCTCTCTCTCTCTCTCTCTCTCTCTCTCTCTCTCTCTCTCTCTCTCTCTCTCTCTCTCTCTCTCTCTCTCTCTCTCTCTCTCTCTCTCTCTCTCTCTCTGTCTGTCTGTCTCTCTCTCTCTCTCTCTCTCTCTCTCTCTCTCTCTCTCTCTCTCTCTCTCTCTCTCTCTCTCTCTCTCTCTCTCTCAGTCTCTCTCTGTCCCTCTCTCTCTGTCCCTCTCCCCCCACTCCATTTCTCTCCAGTTTTACTAACATTACATTGATCATAATGGTGAGAAGAACTAAAACGAAAAATTTACTCAAACAAAAGGATGCAATTTTTAAACTAATTGTATAACTTTGCCAGGGAAATTGCGCACTAATATATTAACTCTTTATCTGCGAGGGGGGTAAGCCCATTTTTGATGCTAAATCTAAAAATGACAAAAACGTCGTTAAATCGAAACTAGCAAACCTATTTTGATAGTTCTTCACCTAATGAATGAACTTCCGGTATAAGAGACCTGACTTCCGGTATAAGAGACCTGTTTTTGACAATTGCCGAAGAGTAGTTTGATGTCGAAGTCATCGTAAAGGAATGTGACTGAGACAGCGGCTCACCGGCACAGTGGTTCCGACTGGGAGCGGCTTGCTGGAGATAAAGGGTTAATACCATTGATGGCGGGCAGAAATGGCCCAACTTCAAAATTTTCTGAAAACTGATTTAAAAAAACAAACAATTTTGTAATATAATGATGGATCTACTGCCAATGTTTGAGGATGACCAAAGCATCTGCAGATGAGAAAATAGTTCCACAGTTTGTTCGTGGGTGACACTGGTAGTAGTGGTAGTTCCTTTTTACTTCTCTGTCCCTCAGGTGTTTTTATCTGTCGTTCTTTTTTGCCCCACAGAGAACAACTATTAACCCCCCGGGGCGGTGCCACTGAATGAAGTGTCTTTAGGCCATTCCCAAAAAGGGGGCATTAACTTGTTCTTATGCATAGTAGAATAGTAAATGGGCTGATTCAACAATGTCATGCTCATAACTGTGCCTGAACTGCAACAACGAACTGCTGCTTTTTCTTTCCTAATCCTTATTATCGTCATTTTTCCTGTACTTCTTGTGTATGTTTGTGACTCTCTTTTGACCCGCTATTTCCGGAGTGCCTTAATAGTTGAAGCAGACTTTGTGCTGGTGAAGCTAGAGAGATGAGCAGAGTAAGCCTGATTCCTAGTAAGGACTTCTCTATTGACTTTCACCCCTTGGCGCTCATATGACCTTATGCAAATGCGAGCACCGAAAAACTCTACTAAAACTAAAACTAAGAACATCTATTATTGTGTTCTTTTTTCTATGATAAAAAACCTTTTGCAGTGTTAATTAACACATTCTGATTTTTTATTTTTTTGGGAGCATATTTTGATTTCTTTTTTTTTTCTTTTAAAATCTTCAGTTGCCAAGTTGGCATGTGGTTGGTTGGTGGGTGCTCTGGGGTGGTTTTCTCCTTCTTTCCTATCAAACATCTATCGACCTGTACTTATCTCTCCTCATTCTTTTTTTGTGTGTGTTACTCTCTTGTAACGCATCTATTCTTTGGCTCTTATATGACCTTATTGTGTTGCAAGTGCCGAAAAACGCTTACGAAACTATCTCTCCTCCTTCTGCTTTGTTTATGTTATTTCCTTGCAACATCTCTAATAATCTTCAACATTTATATGACCTAATAGTGTTGCAAGTGCCGTATAACTCTTACTGCAGGAGGTTGGAGGGTGTCACTGGTAGGTACTACTACTTCTCAACTTTTCCTATGTTGTTTCTGCCTTTCTTTCTTTCTTTCCCCCCCAGCACTTAATGACCTTTATTCTGTCAATGTTCTTGTCTTTACTCCAACAAACAAGCAAACGAACAAACACACAAACAAACAAACAAACATGCAAACAAACAAATTCATACTAAAACGGAAAAAAGTTGGCTATGATCATGGTTTACATTTCTCCTATTTCAAAACATTCTTACTTTGCGTAAATTCTTGTTTTTGTTTTTTGACTTTTCAGTATCCAAATTGGCGTCAGTGCTGGTGTACCTGGTAGCCTGCCCGCGTCTGTACGAAGTAGTTGACACCTACATCCACGCAATCTGTGCCAGGTACCCCAAGACTCGCTATGTGGTCGGACTCAACGGAACTTTTTTCTTCCGACCTCTGTGGACAATGCCAACTTGGCTCTCCGATTTTCTCATGGGCATGGGTTATCCTTTGCCTGGCTAATGTCCCTGACCTTGCTTTCGTTGAGAAAGTTAAGTAAATATGTGAGGCCGCGTCGTGAAATCAGGCGCTCGTCAAAATACATAAATTGGAGAAACAGGCGTTTTTCTGCCAGTTTGGAAATTAAAAAAAAATTTTTGTTTTTTGGATCAACACCTTGTATGTCCATTCAGAAACTTTTTTATGCGTGGATTTTATGGGAAAAACATTGAAGAAAGGCACGAAAAATGAAATTTGCTGTTTCCAAGTACTCTTGAGCTGTGGAAGTCACCAAAATTTGGCGGCCATTTTCTCGCTAATTTTACTTCTGAAACCAGGTGACCCCATCTCCTTCAATTGCAATTATCTCGACTTCTATTCAAGATATATGGATATTTTTTTTCACCAAAAGGAAGACAAATGAACAGGCTTTAAGATGATACTAATAACTCCATATGCCTTAAATTTGACGAGTGTCTGATTCCATCACGCCATGACACGTTTATTATGCTTCTCTTTACTTCAACAAAAATAAGCAAGCATGCAGTTGCAATGTTATGTTTCTATGATAAAAGAATTATGGGAAGTGTAAATGTTTTGCGTTCTGATGTGCAGTTCAATCTATCAGATAAAGGTTTTCTTTTTAAATTTGATATTTGATCAGTTTGGGCCAACCCGAGCTGAGAGGGACACGGCATCTCAGCGGACAGTTGGAGATAGAGTGGAGTCTCCTTAAACCGAAATCTGGGAGACCCACTAGCTGCTCTCCAGCTGGGTCTGTCAGGAGTGAGGCTCTCCCATGTTGAGGGCATGAAACTATGACAATTTACAATTAACTTCATGAAGGTACATGTATGTGAGGCAGCGTGGTGAAATCAGGCGCTCGTCAAAATAACGAAATCAGAGAAATAGGCATTTTTCCGTCAGTTTGGACATCTTTATCGAATTTTTATTTTTTGGCTTAACCTCATTCATCTCCGTAGAAAAACACATTTCCGTGTGAATTTAAATGAAAAACATTGATTAAAGGCACAAAATATCTCATTTTTCAGTTTTCAACTTAGTTATTGGAGTTTCCAAATGTTGGCAGCCATTTTCTCATTAATTTCACCACTGAAACTAAGCGGCCTCACTTCCTTCAATTGCAGATATCTTTAGTTCCATTCAAGATAAAGTGATATTTATTTCATTGGAAGCAAGGCAAATAAATCAGCTTTCAGATGATAACTCCATGTGCCCAAAAATTGACGAGCGCCTGATTCTTCCACGTCGTGACACATATATATGTATTAGTAAGCAGATGTTTTCTTTTCCCGCTTTGTCTCAGTCAGATCAGGGGATGTGATCCAGTGATTTATATATGGTGATGTTTTTTCTATCTAAATTATTATTGTTCTGTTCCTCATTTTTATTGATTTCCTGTTTGTTCTCCCACTTGAGAAAGGTTTTGATGTATGTGTGCATTCTGGTTAAAATGTTTGCTCTTCATTTTCAAATATTTCTATTGTTTGCAAATCTAGTCGTTCATTGCTTTTGTTCATTTTTATGACCTAGACATGACATATGTATTAGAAAGCTGATGTTTTCTTTTCCCCCTTTATCTCACTCAGATTAAGGGACGTAATCCAGTGATTTTTACATGATTATGTTTTTCTATCTAAAATGACATTGTTCTGTTATCTCCCTTTGCCATTTTATTTCCTCATTTTTATTGATTTCCTGTTTGTTCTCCCACTTAAGAAAGGTTTTGATGTATGCACATTCTGAATAAAATGTTTGCTTTTCATTTTCAAAGATTTCTATTGTTTATACAAGTCTAATCGTTTATTGCTTTTGTTCATTTTTTATAACCAAGAAATATTCGTCCTCTTTGTGATAAGACTATTAATATTAACTCTTTGGTCCACACATAATGAAGCAGTGTATATATATATTTTTTTCTGGTAAGTGTTTTACAGCGCTCGCAACTGCATAAGGTCATCTGAGCGTGCGGGACACACCTAATATTTTCAGTTGCTAGGAAATTTTGAATTTTGCCCGGGTGGCGGCGGAAGCCTTCTCTTATCGATTTTGGACCACCAAGGGATCTTTAACGTGCACAACTTGCACACGGGCCCTCCGAGATTTTTCGCCATTGCCCGAGAAGGCTATGTGTAGATCTTTCCTACCAGAAGATCAGGGATGTGGCTGAAAGACAGTCATGGAGTAGCAGTAGAAAGACTGCAGAAAGAGCCATGAGCCCAGAGGAGGGGACAAAGGAGGTGAGGGGGTGGGGGCAGATAGTGGAGACGAAAGCAGACGACAGAACATTGCTAGAGAGCAGGAAAGGAGGTGAACAATTTTAGAGAAGAAAATTTTTCAGTAGCTTCCTGGATTCGAACCCGGGACCTTTGAATTAGAGGCAAACACCTTAACCTCTAGGCCACGAGAGCCCCCGTAGTGTATATGATGAAGATGCCGCAGTATATAAGTGCACGGTACGGAAAGAGTTAAGATGGCTGACCATTGAAAAGCTTTTTGTTCCTCCTGTAAAATTTACCCCTGTAGGAGGGTTAGGCGGTCTTTTCACAAGGGTGATAGTATGTACTGCTCTTAATACTTTGCAGTCTCTTGGCGCAATAATGCACTGGTGAAACTTTCCGTTCCAGTCACCTGTTACTCTGCGTCAGGCCCGAGAAGTCCGTTTTAGTCGATCTCCTGGCTGGGTGACCAGATGGGGTATTTTGTACAGCTGGCTGTGTGACTGCTAAGTGTTAATGTTCAAGCCTTACGAAAGAATAAAGAAATAATAGAAAAAAAAACTACCCACAAACATTTGTATGCTGAAAGTTCAAGTCTTCTGAAAGAATAAAGAAGTAATGAAAAGAAAACAATTATGTGGGTGTTAAATGTTTGTGTATTCATTGTAGTACTAATACCATTGAACCTGTCTATAACCGTTGCTTAAAGTCACAGAGGGGGCTCTCGTGGTTAAGGTGTTCGCCTCTCATTCAAAGGTCCCGGGTTCGAATCCGGGTTGCGACGGAATATATGTGTTACAACGCTGTGGAATCAGGCGCTCGTCTATTTTTTCACATATTGCTTATTTGTATGATCTTAAAGGTTATTCATTTGACTATGTTTCAATGAAAATAATACTCACCTATTTTTAATAGAAGTTGGGGTATTTGCGATTGACAGAGGTCGGGGAATCGGAGTTTTTTTTTAGAGGTAAAATTAGCGAAAAAAAGGCCCCCAAAGTTGTTTTGATTTCCAAAGCTTGAGAATCATTGGAAACTGAAAATTTACTTTTATTGCTGAGTGTTTAAGTTTAATCAACGTTTTTCAGTAAAATCCACATAGAAATATCTTTTTTAATGAACATAAAAGGTGTTGTGGCAAAAAACAGAAATTAGAAAAAAAAATTGTCAAACCGTCATAAAATGCAGATAGCTTCGATTTCATTATTGTGACGAGTGCCTGATTTCACCATGATGCCTCACACATAATTATACTTCAGCATGCTTTCTCTTTATATTGCTATATATATTATATATATATACACAGATGCTTTACAGCCATTATCACCCTAACAGCTCCTACAACTCTCAGAAACATTTTCGGGGTTTGTGGTTGGCGGGTGTGGCGGGTGCTGTGGTGTGCTTTGCTCCTTCTTTCTTATCAAACATCTATCGTCCTGGTCTCTCCTCCTTCTTTCTTATCAAACATCTGTCGTCCTGGCCTCTCCTCCTTCTTTCTTATCAAACATCTATCGTCCTGGTCTCTCCTCTTTCTTTCTTATCAAACATCTATCGTCCTGGTCTCTCCTCTTTCTTTTTTATGTTTGTTACTCCCTTGTAACACCTCTCCGGTACTTATATGACCTTATTGTGTTGCAAGTGCCGTAAAACCTCTACTAAAACAAACAAAAACTCTTACCTAAACTATAAGAAACATTTTCGGCTACCCTGGAAGCATACAATGCAAGCTGCGAATTGCATGTGCTAAAACACAACAAACTTACAAGATCATGCTTGATGGTATATTACATGTATATAACATGTATTGTGAGCTAGAGAGAGGCTTTCCACCTGTCTGTCAGTCTGTCTGTCTGTCTGTCTGTCTGTCTGTCTGTCTGTCTGTCTGTCTGTCTGTCTGTCTGTCTGTC